GTCCCGTCGACGCGTTGGAGGAAGTAGACGAGCTCGGGCGGGGTGCCGGGGTAGGCCGCGCAGAGCCGCGCGAGCTGCACCTCCGTCGCCCCAGGAAGGCAGCTGAGCTGCCGCAGGTGCTCTGTGGAGAGGCGCTGTCGCACACTGATGATGTAAGCATCCACCAGACGCCGCGCGATTGCCGGGGGGCGGAGGTTCATGGTGGGGCAATCAAAGCGTACGGCGCACACACGCACTCGGAAAAGGAGGGAAAATAATAAAACAGCCCCGATATCTATATCTGAAGGTGATCACGCACTTGCAATTGGATAGCGTTAAAAAAAATAAAAGTTTCTATAGGTCAAATCTGGAAGAAAGCAACGCTGTAAAAGCAAAAAAAAAACTATCAAAGTATTGAACCGAAATCGATGAAAGCACCTAAATATCACGTTTTTTTATCAATATGATTTGTTATGGTTCCTTCTGGGCTCACCACTGCGCAAAAATCATAGCCCAGAACTTTTGAATAGTGTACCTAGCTTGAATTCAGAAAACTAAAAGAAGATAGCTTAATTGAAATACAAGTAAATCCTCACTTACATACTCCAGGAGTCCCTCTCACTGTGACCGCAAATTAAGACTTCTGATAAACGTACACGAAAGTTAGATATTTACTCCATACAAGTATTTAAAATCTACCAAAAATAGTCTGAACAAAAATAATAAGATTGAACAAGACATCCGTGTGAAAAGATATTTATATATATGCGGCACTAAATATGTTAAAAATAAAAACTTTGGATACACTCGTACTCTCGTAACCTTGGCGAGTTCCCTTGGATTCGTCATACTGCCGATCGTCGCTCCACTCATCCATGCGAATACCCCAAGGGAGAAAAGGCTCAAGACAACAAAACAGAAACAAAATCTAAAAACAACAAGTTGCCACATGCATTTTTGGTAAACATCCCGTGCCAGATCAACAATGATATATGCAAGAATAAATTTCCTGCAACAAAAACGAAATATAAAATTAAAGACCCCAATATGCAGAACTATAATTTTATTTTTAAAACGAAATCGCTTTCAGTGAATCACATACTCATGTTTACCTAAAATTGGCCAATCATCACCAAAGGTAGGTAGCGATACACATACGCTTGGAAGTAAAAAGAACTAGATCTCAAAAAAATACAGAAAAAACCTTTCCGATTCATGACCAATCATATTACATATCCATATAGAAAATAAAAAATGGTTAGTTCAGCACATTTTCCAAGCTTTCCTTCCTTGTGTGGCCTCACGTCCTGCTACTGTGGGTTAACTCTAGCTAAACGTATCAAAACGTGGGGCATTGGGAGAGGTCGTCCTCAAGAAACTAGCGAAGATGCGGTTAGGGTTGTGCAGCAAAGGCGGTGGTGCTCATCATGAAGTGAACCCCTTATGCGCCTTGACATCCTCGCTCCCAATCCCACGCCCTACCCACGCGCTACAGGGGAATTCCATTGATAATATTGTACTCCACACAACTCTCGGTAGGGGTGTGCCTGCCACTGGAGATGGCCGTCAGGGGGCCCGCCCAGCGTCCATCCAGGCCGCTTTGTCGGCGGCAGAAGTCCCCAACGAGGCCGTCGTCGAGATCCCACTCCCGCGAGGACACCCTGCGATGCGACAAATCCCCCAGGCCCGCGCCCTCCAAGGCGAGAGTTCGATTGCTGCTTCCTGAAGAAGAGCTCCGGCAGCTAAGGCGCGAGGAATGCGCAGTGAGAGGGACCATCATCGGCGCCACCGCGGGGGAAGGGAGGAGGGGCCCGAGACTCAGCCTCGAGAGTGTAGGGGGCGGAAGGAACGATGAGGTGACCGGACGACTTGCTGGTGATCGTCCAAGGAAAGAACCCCACTGGTAGAAGGACGCGTTATGCATACCTGAAGAACCATACGTGGCGTTTGTAGTCGGCAGTCCGTTATACGGATCAATTGCCCCGAGTGCGCTGCTGCCGGTAATGCTGCGCCTGCGTGCAATACTATCGCCCTCGAGATCGAAGGGCGTGTGCGCACTCGGGTGGTAGTTTTTTCGCGAACCATATGCCAGTGTTGAACTATACATCGAATCTGGATAAGAAGCGGGGGGGGTGCCCCACTTCAGCATGCCCCTTTCCGTCACGTAGGTTCCATCGAAAAAACGGTCAAAGACTACATAATTATTTGCTTGTTGCATGTAAGTCTTAAGACCATAGTGTTTTTGTAAGAAACTTAAAATTTTTGGCCCTGGCCGGTCGATGGCCAGACGCCAAGGATCTAAACGCTCTCTCTCAAGCATCGCCCTAAACAGACGCTCGCCAAACCCACGCCGCTGGTAGGATTCATCGACAAAAAAGTCTAATACACACATCGGTTCGACTTCTACCATCTGATAGGTTACTGGATGCGTTAGGAAAAGGTTCTTTAACCCAACTTTGAGTATCCCCACACCCCGGCCCTCGTAAGTAAGTAAATAAAGAGTATAAGAACTATTCTCGTATAGACGAGAGACAGTGGTAAGCGGTACAACTAAACCTTGCGAGAATTGGCTGCATGCGCCAAGAATATTGATAGTGCTAAAGAGATTATGCTTGAACTCATCATCCTCAGGATTACCCTTCAGGCTGCGTCGCTTAACATCATCCAGGTCACGTGCGGTCCAGATGCTGATGCCATCGGGTAGATTGAGCAAGGGAAGGGATTCCATGGCTCTGGAAGCCGGCCCTAATCTCCGACGCATCAGAGGGTATGGATTAGCTAGCCCTATTACTCTTTTTGTTTTCTGTTTTCAAATTCTAGAAATGATAAAACCTTATGGGCACATATATAATATATGTGTGAATAAATACAAACAGGTACGTATGAATGGGTAGAAATTCTCCCGTCTCGCGTCTTGCTATCGAACTGATACTGTGTAATTGAAGTGCCTTCACTATAACAGACTCATCCGATGAATAAAATACGGAAAAGTGGAATATTTACACAAGAAGCAATCCATAAAGGTGACCTCCCCACTTACAGTTCACCCTGAACTACCATACACACAGATATTTATGTCCGTCAAGAAGTAAATCTTGCAGGAGAAGGCAAAATACGAGCTAAAAGAATAGCAAAAAGCAAGAGCAACAGATCACCATATGATTGGCATTAGGAAAAAGATCACCTCCGCTGAGGTCTCCAATACATAGCAAAACATTGCAACGTAAAATAAAGTCAATAAGAATAATACGCCAAACAAAGTGCACTGCAATGCAGTAATGATTATCTAAACATCGTACTGCAGTACTTATCCATGATATGATTTTCCGTTCAGGATTAATCGGAAAAAAGAGCACCCAAGAACCACATTATCATTAATCTGACCTCACATTCCTTACTTCAGACTAATCGTCTTTCGGGAACGTTTCCTTTTTACCAGTTTATAAATAAGCGTAACAACCATAGACAAGAGCAAAATGATGAGAAAAACAACCTGTACCCATTTAAGGAACACACTAATTCCCTTGAGGTGTCGTATATAGCCATTCACCATCCCCCCAATCGACGTATTCGCGGTGTACCCCTCAAACGAGCCCACTGCAAACACCAGCACCGTGGGCATCACAATCAGCATCAGCAGACCATTGTATAAAAAGCTGTGAATGAGGGTGTCGTGGGGCCTCATTGGGTAGATGTTGAAGAAGAAAATCCACAGTCCTGCCACAAGTTGGCCCTGGAAGGTACTCCAGTACAGGTAAAGCGCGAATAAACTATAGCCCAAAATCCCAAAGACCCCAAAGGCATTCCTCAGCGCGATCAACAATGTATTTAAAAAAGGATCCGCATTGGCCAGGTTGAAAACGATGATGTGAAGCACCCAGGCCACGACAATGGCAAAGCACACAACATTAAGGAGGAGCTTTCCATAAACGATGAACGGTGAACCACCCGCCTTCGTGTAAGACCAGATGAGATACTCCTGTTCGTTTTCCAGCAAATAAACCTCATTTCGGAGGATGTGGATCTTGTTTTTTACCGCGAGCGGTACGTAGCTGCGGGCCTCCCGCTGAAGCTCCTTGCCCAATTCCAAAAGGGCATCCGCCTTTGCGAGGATTACGTACATCCTCTCTGAAAAATCTGCCGCATTTATTCTCTTGATGCGATTCTTGAAGTTGAAGAACCCGTTGATCGGGAACGAGATGAACCCTAGCCCACAATAGAACAACAAAACAAACCATCCAAGAAGTGAAAGCATACCTACACAATACGTGGTGAAAGAGACCTTAATCTCGGGCTCCACTGTGGTGTACGTCTGATTCAAGGAGACACCACTTTGGGAGGTGAACATGAGCTGCCCCGAAGCCTCATAAGTTTGGAATGAGATCTTGGATACTCCGACAGTCGCATAACACGTCCCTACTATCAACGCAAATACGCTGACAGCAACAAGCGTCGTGAGGGTCGCCTGGATGATCGCCTTCGTTGTCTTGGGGTGTTCCGGATCGCGAAACGCGTACAGGAACATCATGAAGGGGCAGATCACGATCGCCTTGACGATTATTATCCACAGCACTATCTCCCACATCAACACCGTGTTGAGTGTCTTCGAAAAGGTGTTCAAGACGGTGGGGTCCGGCGCGTCAGCAACATCGTAGGTTACGAGCAACGTGCCTCCCAATGAGAGAAGAAGCGAGAGCCCAAAAATGACCTTCCCACAGTACGTTGATTTGCCATCTTCCGGGGATTGGAAATACAAAACGATGTAAGCCGCTAAGGTGATGAAAACGAGGGTAAGGATGATAATAACCAAAATTAACCACCAGTTCAGCATATTGATTAAGAGTCAAGGGCGAAAATGGTGAACTAAGAAGAAAAATATACTGCACCGCTGAGGGGCTAAGGGTGAAAAAGTGCGGGAATAGAGCGAATAAATCCAAAGAGGCAGAGTTACAATCATAAATATAGACAACTAACTAGTTAGGTACTAAACATTTTGGTGTATCATTTTTTACGAGGCTATCCTCTGACCAAGAGCATTTATTTCATACATGAAAAAGATCATGCGAAGCATGCTGTTCCGCCTCTGTGTTATTTTTCCTCTAATTTTGGCTACTAACAAACACTACTAATGATTCTCCTGGATCACTCTAGTTGAGCTTCCCGCATTACAAACACATTACTTTCACCTTGATGGTAAGAATAAAGAATCTGCAATGGAAAACGACTATAATAAATTATCACAACTAAAATGAATAGACAACAATATAGATGATGAAGAATAGCTCAACGTCCGTCCTCCATTCCACTATTGTGCACTCCCGTTTTCTTACATTTCTTCATTAACCTCTTGACTAAACGTTTCCCTAAACAGACATGGACCACCCGGTGTTCCGCTACGATATTAAAAGATCAAGGCATATGAAAAAGACGGGGCAGTAATTACCTTAGTGAAGCTCTTCTCAAGAAAAAGGGGAAACGACACTAAAAAATTAGAATAATCATCTCGTGCTTCTCTTTTTTCAATATTACTGGTAGACCTCTGCCGGCGTTTCCTTTAACCTCACCATCTCATCTCAAGAGGAAGCCTCCTCTTCCTTCGCGGCCTGCGCACGACGGACGCGACGGTGCTTCTCCAACGCGGCGGCCTCCTCAGCCATCACCTTCGCCTTTTCAAGCACAGACTTGATGCCACCAACCATGTAAAACGCCATCTCCGGTATCTGGTCGTACGTGCCCATCAGCAGCCCAGAGAACGACTCCACGGTATCCTCTAGCTGCACGTAGTGGCCTGGCATGCTCGTGAACACCTCGGCAACCTGGAAGGGCTGCGATAGGAACTTACTCACCTTGCGCGCGCGGTCCACGATAAGCTTATCCTCCTCGCTCAGCTCATCAATACCAAGCACCGCAATGATATCCTGCAGCTCGCGGTACTTCGTCAGCATCTGCACGATATCCTGGGCGACGTTGTAGTGGTCGACGTCGATCACATCGGGGTCCATAATACGCGAGGCGCACTCCAGCGGGTTCACCGCGGGGTAAATCCCGGATTCAGCCACCGTGCGATCCAGCACGGTCGTCGCGTCGAGGTGGGAGAAGGTCGTAGCCGGAGCGGGATCGGTGATATCATCCGCCGGTACGTACACGGCCTGCACAGACGTGATCGATCCCTTCGTCGTCGATGTGATGCGCTCTTGCAGCATACCAAGATCCTCCGCCAGTGTGGGCTGGTAGCCGACGGCCGCAGGGATGCGCCCAAGCAGCGCCGACACCTCAGAGTTCGCCTGGGTGAAACGGAAAATATTGTCGATGAACAGAAGCACATTCTGCCCCTCCACATCACGAAAGTACTCCGCCATCGTCAGCGCGGACTGCGCTACACGCGCACGCGCACCAGGGGGCTCGTTCATCTGCCCGTACACTAAAACGCACTTGGAGTCGCCCCTCAGGTCGATCACCTTGGACTGCATCATCTCCAGGTACAGGTCCGTGCCCTCGCGCGTGCGCTCGCCCACGCCAGCAAAAACAGAGAACCCACCATGACCCTTCGCAACGTTATTGATCAGCTCCATGATGATCACCGTCTTGCCCACGCCAGCACCACCAAACAGCCCGATCTTCCCACCCTTGCAGTACGGCAGGATCAGGTCGATTACCTTGATCCCGGTCGTCAGGATCGCATCCTCAGCGGCCTGGTCCGCGAGCTTCGGCGCCTCGGTGTGAATCGGCATCCGCATCTTCTCACCTACGGGCCCACGCTGGTCGATGGCGTCGCCCAGCACGTTGAAAATTCGTCCGAGCGTTTCACGCCCTACTGGCACCGAGATGTTGCCACCCGTCGACACCACCTTCGATCGCAGCTTCAGCAGCTCCGTCGTCTGCATCGCAATACACCGACCGGTGTGCGCGTCCAGATGCTGCACAATCTCCAGCGTTAGCGGCTCCTCGCGGCCGAGGTCCTCGACGACGTCCAGAGCCGTCAGCACCGGCGGGACGCCCTCCGCGAAGTGCACGTCCACGACGGCACCAATCACCTGCGAGACGTGGCCAACACGGCCCTTGTGCTCCGCGGGCGAGGCCGCCGAGGAGACCCCGCGCACACCCGCCACAGCGCGCATAATGCCACTTCGAATGCGGGAAAGCATCACGTCAACACGTACGATAGATGATGCTATATATAAAAGTGTACCGGCACGAAAGACAAAATAATATATATATATGAGAAAAAAACGTTACTAACAGCGATGCGTCACACTGTGGGAAGATCACGGTTCAAGTTAGTGTGAAGGCACAATTCGCCGTGTCACAGAGCAGAGAAATGATGAAAATGAGGATAGAAAGAGAAAATAAATAACAATTCCTTGAGCATTTCGTCATGAAATGCTGGTACATTTTTTGTCACAACCCCTTTTCGAATATTCCCAATCGTTTCGATCAAAATGGGGAGAAAAAAAAGACAGTGGACTTTATGTCCTTGTCTGCTTTTTCCTTTGTTGTGGTTTTTTTAAGAAATAAGAATAAGTACAGGGAAAGGGAAATCACTTAACCATTGTCCTCCTAAAATCGAACTGAACGAGAATTTGAAGTAGGGTAGAGGGAAAGGAGGGGATGGTCAGCCTCCTCCCCCTCGTGTGTGTTCATTCTCTTCCTGGTCACCTCCGATCTCCTCTCTAGCTGGAAGCCTCCTGAGGGGGGGCGGCCACCACAATACGGCTGTACACGCGGTGCTTGCTGGAGCACGACACCAGGCGGATCTGCTTCTCGCGGCAGAGCTGCTTCAGCGCAGCAGAGGCAAGAGAAACGGTAATCTTCAGGCGATCGGAGATAATGGCGGGGGTGATGAGCTTGTACTTCGGCACCTCGTTGCGGAGCTTTTCGAGGGTGTCCTTGTCGAACATCACGGCGTTCTGAAGGGCCTCACGGGTCTGGCCCTTGCTCCACTTCTTCGTCGCGCGCTTGCTGGCGTTGTTGGCCGCGGCCATCTTCGCCTTCTTTGTTTGTCCCTCCTTCGGCGGCATCTTGTGGCTGTATTCTATAGGGGCTGTTGGTGTATTTTATTTCCCTTCTATGATCCACAGCAAAGAAAGATTCAACGAACGGAATAAGTAAATATTACGGTCATTTTATGTATTAATTTGTCATCAGTGGACGATGAGGAAAAAAAAGGAAAATAAATTAGTGAAAGAGACTCAGCAGCAAAAGACTCCATCCCACAAGTCATGCTAGACGAGGGGAAGGGAAGGGAGAGACTCATTACTCGATGAGCCCTTACAACTCCAAAGAGTATTCCTGTTTGCTGGAATCCTTCGGTGCATCACCTGTGTTCGTCGTAGTGGAACAACTATCGGGATGCGTCTTCGCATTCGATGAGGCCAACACACATGTAGCAATGCTCTGAGCCAGGCATTGCACCACAATCGGATTCACTGCATTGCCAATGAGTTTATACACAGAGCCAGGGCTTAACACCGACTTATAGGCCGTCTTAGACACCTTCGATCCTCTCACACGATCAGAACGCTTGGCACATCCTTCCCTGGCTAGGGGCGCATCCACACCAGGATTAAGCGCGTTCTGGTGGGCGGTGCTATCCCACCGGCTACCCCCCTCCTCAACATCCACAGTAAAGCGAATGTCATCAGGAATTCCCTGCAATCGTGCACACTCTCGCGTAGAAAAAAAACGTAGGGGGGGTTGTTGACTACCCAACGTGAACTTCTGATGCTGTGATTCATCCAACGCAGTATCGTGCCGCTCCTCGGTGTGCGAAACATTGGATGCCGTCACTTCTGCTTTCACATTTGCACACAAGAGCGCCGCAAGGGCAACATCTTTCGCGATGAAGGGGTCAGGATATGGTACAAACTCCGAGTACAACTGAAAGCTTGTGCGGTAGCTACCCATCAGCGTGCGAGCCTTCCCTCTCACATCCACAAGGCGCCATTCGGGATTCATGCGAAATGTGCGGCTCCGCTGAACTGCCTCCCACTGAGTCGGTGTAAGCACCACTGATGTAGCTTGTCCGCTTCCAACAACATCACAAGATTCAGAAAAAACAGGCTCGCATAAGAGATCCCCGACAGATCTATAGGGAGCATGACGGCCAGCCTCCGCAAGCAGCTCCAGCGCATGATTAAAGATATCGTCCACAGCGCTGCTCTGCGAAAATAAATATGAATTTCCGCTCAAGATGGTATGAGATAGAACATCCTGACGGATCCCAATGAAATATACCCTTTGTCGAGTTTGTGGGCTCACAATAGAGCCGTCAATCACCCGATAACCCACAGCGTACCTGGTTGGAGAGGATGAAGTATCGTCCAGCAAGGGGGTAAAATGCGACCTTACTGCGGCATCGCCGTGGAACTTTCCACAACCGTCATCAGGAGCCTCCCCCGGCTCCTCACCACCAGGCAATCGTGTAGGGTGGTCTGGGAACGTTAGGCATGCCAATATCTCACGAAGTTGCCCCCCTCCTTCCAAATTCACAATGTTGCTAACGTTTTCTAACAAAAATGCCTTGGGGCGACTTGCCCGCAGGACTCGTACGACTTCATAGAATAGCCACCCCTTGCGATGGTGTAGCCCCGTAGAGGGCCCGGACTTTGCGAAGCTCTGACAAGGAAATCCAGCCGTCAAGAGATCGTGTGGAGGGAATAAGTAGGACGGGATCTCCGTGATATCGCCTAGAAATGGAAATTCGTTTCCTTCCGAATACGTGGATGGATCCCCTTCCACGCCAGCGCCGAGCCTCCCTGTAGGGATGGCATTCAAAGGCCCTGCATCTGAGCTCGGTCGAGGGCTCAAAAAGTTCTCCGCGTACACGGCGCGGGCCTCCGGGGCGAACTCGACGGCAAACAACGGGACCCCACCAGCGCGCTGCAACCCCAGACGAAACATCCCAATGCCCCCAAAAAGTTCCGAAAAGGTGAAACGCACCGCGCGGCTGGATCTCGTGCGATCACGCGCCGCCTCCGCCTCCAGATCGTTCATCGAATAGCCGTGGACTTGAGGGCTGGGATTGGGTGAGAAGCAGCCGAACCTAACGCGCTCAAGAGCTGCCAGAGGCGCCGGTAAGGATCCCCCTCCCCGCTGATCCGGAGAGGAGGGGACGACCTCACGTCGATGGCGACCAACCCCACGGCATGCACGGGAGTACACCCGCAGCTGCCTCACATAGGCCACCGGGGGGCTCGTCGTGGGGGGATGATTCCCCTCTACCGGATCCGTCGAAGAAAGCGCGAGAATCTGAAACAATTCATCCGCGGAGAACTCCCCTACCACGTGAACCGCCCAGTAGTCATCTATGCCATCCGTCACGCCGCATTCAAATTGATGCCAAAGCCGATGAAAGCGTGGTTCGGGCGGCCCCTTCGTCTCACCAGGATGAGCACAGGAGTGGCGGATGAGAGTCGTTAGCACGTGTCCCCCCTCCCATACACTCTCCTCCCCTGCTTCCCTTGGAAGACGCGGATCGCCGCGCTCGCACACAAACAACTCTCTATGCACGAGCCGCCTCTCGGCGTCGTCCAGGGAAACGAGCCTGCCGAGTTGGCAGACGTCTAGGTCAAAAGGGGTTACATTTCGCCCTGGTTTGAGGAGGTTTTCGTATTGGTTGATTTTTTCCACCTCCACACCACCGCCGCCCCTGCTCATAGGGCTTGACACACCTGATCCTGCGCCAACAATCCCGTTTGTTCGACTCACGACCGCAGGCCTTTCGGAGTAATGATAGCGGTGAAGTCTTTGAATTAAAGGTTGCAATGAGATCTTGCCCTGCACAATAAAAGCCCCTATCGGATAGACCCCTACATAACTTGCACACGCAAGGTCAGACATGATCGCGAGCAATCCTCTACGTAGTGTCGTTGATATCAGTGATACTCCAGTGCTGCTGAGGACTAATCACACATATTAACCTTCAATGTCAAATAAAAAATGTATGCGAAAGAAGAAGGGTTAGAAGTACCAAAAGATAGTCCACATACGCTTTGGGTGTATGCGCTCCGAATGCGATTTGCTGCAACGACGAGGTATTCACACCAAGTTATGCTCATCGCAGATATTCCGGCATGATGAAATACGCATGCACACCCCTGGTGTGATGGGAGATGTTAGCGGCAAATTTCAGTATTTTATATGTATTAAACGTTTAAATGGTGATATACAAATAACAGGGAGGACAGGGAAAATCCGCATCGGAAAGCCTCTTTTCCTTTTTTTGCTCTCTAAAGATGAAACACCAAAAAAATTGATCGCGATGACTCGCTGGTTACGGACTCCCTAAAATTAATCCCATGAGAAACAGTTATCCCTTGACAACAAAAGTACGACAGAAATGAAAGCCCACGCATACACCGCGCGTTGCCGCTCTCATTCTCGAGGTGACACACCGGTTGTTTTAATTTCCGAAACGTCGAACTTTCCAGCACATGGGCAGCATCTCTAACGCCTTCTCCAGGTTTCTTTCCAATATCAGCACATGACGGCCGTCCTTCATGACAAAAGCCGCCTCAACAGATGCTCGTCCAATCATCTTCCAGTCGCGCGCGCCCGCGTAAATCAGCCCACGACTAAAGTATCCCAGATACCGACAGGGCTCCTCACCGGGCCGGCGATCCTTCCTACTCAGGTTCTGATCCGCGCTTTTCTCGGGCGCGTCGGGGGTCGTCCCTTCCGCCTGCTCGGCACCGCGCACGCCGGCAATAAACACCACGTCATGCGGTAGAGAAGCGGGCAGGGCGACCTCCGCATGCGGCCCCTTTCCCTCGCCCTCCGCCTCCCCACACAACGACGCCATGCTACGGCATACATAGCGACCCTCCGCGGGCGAAATCCCAACCACGAGATCCTCCCCGAGGGTCGTCTTCCCGGCGGCGTCGCCACCCTCCCGGTGGATCGTCGGGATCACGCGCACCACCCGGCGGATCTCCGCGGCGGTGGCGGAGAGCCTCACGGAGTCCATCCGCGGCATCCCATCCGGCGTGAGCTCAAAGCGCCAAACCCCACCTTCGCCGTACACGAACAGCCACCCCGCGGCCGCCGGCGAGGCCCCCGCGCCCCACCCCAACCGCCGTGGACGGAACCCCCCGGCAGGGGAGCCCCGCGGGCGTCGCTTCCCCGGCGTTTCCCCGTTGTCCTCGACCCCGGGGTCGGGGTCGAGGCTGGTGTGAACCACCGGGAACCCCTCCGCGAGGGTGATCGACACCACCTCGTCGTCGTAGAGGAGATGCAGCGTGCCCTCGTCGGCGGGCCCCTCCGCCGCCTCCGTCGCTTCCCCTGCGGGTTGAGAAAGCGGCGGGGTGAAGACCGCGTCGAGGACGCCGCGGTGCGCGGGCAGCTCCAGGACCTCCTCGATTCGCCGGATCGCCAACGCGGCCTCGGCGCCGCGGCGCCAGCGCAGCTGACAGACCCCCACCCGCGCATCCGTCGCGAAGACGAAAAAATGCAGCCGGGGGTCGCACCAGAGCCCGGCGAGGTGGAAGCCCCCGCGGAGGTTCTGCGCGAAGAGCGGGATCCAATGGCGGTGCGAGGTATCCATCCGAAACGCCTCGACGCGGCCGAGGCGGGCCTGCAGCAGGACGTTCCGCGCCCGCGCGAAGGCGAAGGGCTGCGTCGTCGCGTTCACGTACCTCGCGGGGCTCGTGAAGAGGCTGGCGAAGGGCGCATACATCACCGTCCCGTCCCGCGCCGCGGAGAGCAAAAGGCGCTGGCGAGGCAACTGGACGAGCTGGGAGGCCTCGTGGTAGTGTGTACGTCGTTTCACCTCGGCGGGGTACCACCCCCCCCCCCCGCCGCCGCCGTCCGCGTCTTTCCCGGCGGTGCAACGGTAGCACCGAAGCGATTCATGCCAGCCCGAGGCGTAGAAGTGATCCCCCGCGGCGAGGATCGTACTCACCGGGCCTTTGTGTTGCGAAAAGGTG